AATGTAATCACAGACAAAAGAACCTAGCTTTAATAGCTAACACTCAGTAGCTGCTCATTTTCTCAGTGCTGAGATGACATCTTTCATCGCTGCCGCTGCCTTCTGCACTTCCATTTGTTTTTTCTGTAGCTCTGTAACCACAGTGAACTGTCATTTAGTGATTACAATAAAAAGGAGAAACATCTTTTAAAAGTAAAACAACAAAAAGTAAAACGACTTAATAGCAATTATTTCTACAGTATTTTTTCCAAACTTCTGAAATAGTTCCCAAAGAGCTTTTAGCTGGAAACTTGGCATTTCAGTAATGCTGTGCACTGTGTCCTTAATAGATTTGCAGAAACTTGACTAGTGGAGGACAAAAACTGTTGCAGGCTTAAAGAGGGGAAAAAACAACCTGCAGAAGATGAACAGTATCTGAAAGTCACATCATTAAGAAAAAAAAACCCAATCAAAGACCTGGCAAAGGACTGGAAAGGTGCATCTGGTCCTGCCATATATCTCTGCAAAGTGTCCAGGAGCTCAGTGACACAATCCCCAGTGTCTAATAAGCGTGCCCAGATGTCAGATGGTGTCTAATCAGCCACATTAGGACACAAGTTGGATCAGCCTGTCATTGCAATTTTTAACTTGATTAACTTGATATTTGAATTATGCCTTTATACAGTTGTAGATTTTGGTTTCCACTGACCATTGCTGTTTAATTTTTTCTCATTGAATTACAGAATATATCAATACACACAGTTTCCATGGTATTGTAAATGCTATGAGTATCTATAGGACATCTGTTGAAATCTCTTGAAATGCTATCAATGAAGCAGACATTAACTTCTGTTAACCAAAGAGGGTAATCGGCCAACTAATACCACACCCCGAGAGCAGTACTGTGTACTTTACCTTCTTGCTGCTTAGCCACAAATTCTGACAATTTTCCAGAAGCTGCCATCACCGACAGTGCAAGATCATATTCTGTGGAGAAAAAAAAAAATACAATTTTCACAATTCCCAGTTTAAAACATTAAAAAAGGTCAGACAGAGTCTCATAAGTGTCATGCACCCTTACCCTCCTGGCTGGCCTGATCTGACTGGATTTTGCTGGAGATATTTTTCATCCCATCAAGGAAGTCAGTGAAGATGGCCTCTGTACATCCTGCTGCATTACAGCTTTTCCAGAAGCTGCTGGAGTCAATTTTGGGCTCTGGACTTGAGGGAAGTGCCAAAGGAGAGGAAGAGGAGGAGTTAATGGATACACTGGCGCGTTCAGGCAGAGCCAGAGCTATGGCCGAGCTAGTGCAGGGAGGTGAAGTATGAGACTTCAGGGAGGTGAGGTATGAAGGAGAAAATTTGGACTGGCCAGGAGAGGGAGGGGGGGCAGTGGTGTTTGGGGGTGAGACAGAGGATCCACTGGTGAGTTGACCCGGGGTTTGGACATTGTTCTGCTCAGGACTGGACCCTAAGAAGAGAGTTAGTTCTATAAGTAATCCCAGCTTTTTATCATTTCAAAACCCTTACTCCTGTCTGATTCTTAAAAAATCTACACATTTCATGCAACAGCAGCTTCCTAAGCTTTCTAGATAAGTGTTTGACATGGCACATTTCTTCTTTCTACGTTTTTCAGTGAATGTGTCTTAATAATTTCATTGTGTGCTTTTTCAAACAAAGCTTGCACATAACCTTCACTTTGTCATTCTCATTCATAAAAATCATAAAGATTAATCAGCCACAAGATTAAAATCACCTGCCTTAATATTAGATCTGCTTTGTGCCACAGTAACACCTTTGAGCTGTCAAGGCAGGGATTCCACAAGCCCTCAGCAGGTTTCCTGAGGTATTGAGAACCAATATGACAGTAGCAGCTCCTTTAAGCTGCAAGGCAGGGCCTCATGGATGGGTCTCATTTTGTCAGCAGATCCCATAGATGTGCAATTGTGTTAAACTACTTGCTGAGATCATAAACTCACCAAGAAGTGCTTAAAATTCGAGAAAAAAAACTTTATATTCCTCTTTTTTTGCAATCAGGATAGTCCTTTTTACACCACAAAGCTACTTCCTTCTTTTATATATAGCCTATGGCTGTTGTAACTGCAATTCATAGCCATCAAGTTTGTGCGACTGTAGCTTTTCTCCTGTGTTACTGGACTACACAGGCCTTGGGTGTCTTTAATGCTGTTGCCTTTTTACTGGTTGTCCTTCCTTAGACCACCTTGGGTAGGAAATAACTATTGGATATAGGGACACAGCCCAGAGGACCTGCCGTTTTTGAGACCCAGTCTTGTTATCACTGGGCTTGTCAAAGCCACTCAAATCCTTAAACGTCCCATTTTTCAAATTCAAACGCATCAACTTTCAGAGGCAATTCTTGTTCCCTATAGTAGCCCACACAGGCTATACTACAGAAGAGGATTAGGACCACTGGGAAAAAAATCTGAGAAAAAAGTCAGACTTTTTTATCAAAATGATTTTTTTTTCTCAGAATTCAGGAAAAGAAGAAGAAAAAAAAAAGACGTGCCCATTTTTTATTTTATTTTATTTTTTCCCTTCCCTCAGTGGCCCTAATCCTCTTCCGTACTATACAGGTGTCTTTATAGTCTGATAAAAGTTTTGCCTAACTGCTGTGTAATCATTATCAAAGCTCTTTGGTCTTATAAAACATTTGATCAGTCCCAGGAGGAGAAACCTTACCCTCGTGTTCATCTACGACCGGCTCTACATCTGCATTAACCAGAACATCTTCAGGTGGAGCAGATTCAGTCTGAGGTGAGAGTTCACCAGCTGACATTGTAAGTGACTGGGTCTGTATGCAGATCTTTACGGGAAGCAGCAGACTCTCTGACTCAGCATCCTCAGAAGACAAAGAAAACACATCTCATCACACCTCATATGAATCCCATGCAAAAAGAGGGATTTCCTTTAGTATCTATCTATCACCAAATCTTCATAGTTCTAAATTACCAAATATTAAACGTATAACAAAAAAAGAGACCATTTATAGCTGCTAAAGACAACCATTAACACAATATCAGAGAACTCACTGATTCTATGATTGTGTCGTCTTCATCATTAAATTCATCCTCAATGTGATTTCCTAAAAGAACCAGACAAGAGGAGTTTGAAAAAACAAATATTTATATCTTTAAAAAACTATTTAGCAAACTATACACACTGAATCAACAACTGCTTACCTGATAAAGACCCAGCAGGACTCTTGGTGTCTCTTCTGTAAAATGGAGAATATAATTTCAAAAAATGACCCTCTGCTGACATTTTTTACAGACCAAGAAAAGAAAAAGCATGTATGCAAAAGCCCTTTGGGAAAAACTAAGATTTCATAGGGGATAATTGCATTCATAAGACATGTTTGTGCCTTTTGGTGGTGCTTTGATAGGCTGCGATGTACTGAAACTTGCAGGTAATTAGCTTTACTAGTTAACTCTGGACAACTTTTTCATAATTTTATATACATATAATTTAGAATTACAAATATTAGTGAGACACTTCCCCCCCCTGCAGAAACCCCTCCAAAACTAGCAAAACCTACCTGATAACCTCAGGCACAGTCTGCCATCACGAGAAGAGAAATCAACACATGACAGGACAAAGATGGAGACTTCAAATTATTAGACATATTCAGCATACAGTGATGTTATTGAAGAATTAATGAATAATTAGGCGTACTTCGAGCTCTGGAACGGAGTTTGCATTTTCATCTATATCCGACTCTAATGGGGCGTATATATCCATTGGAGTGTTATTGTCATTGTCAACTATATATATATATAAGATAAAAGAAAGGGGTTTGTTAGCTAGAGTGATAAGCCCACAGAGGTTACATTTTCTTCCCTTGCAACGGGGTTGACCTGAATTTGAAGAATCGGAGAGTCTCCTCTTCCAGCGACGAGGCTTAGGTTTCAAGAGGGTCTCCTCCTGCCTGTAACAAAGGTAAGGAATCATCACAACTGTATCTGCTGGTGGATAACCAGGGAAAATATATAAGAAGGAGGGAAAAAAAAAAAAAAAGGTTTGCACCATTTTTATTGTAACCGACAGGACACAATTTGCTCTTCTCATTTCTTTATATTGTCAAGCAGAATGTTATTTTGTTGTTTGTTGTTATTTTTTTAAAGTGATCTTGAGCAATAGCTCTCCAGGCTTTCTGAAGCCGTTCAAAGTTTTTCTTCAGATATTGGCTGCTTTATCGCTCATTTCCAGTCCAGTCCTTAAACCTGGGCATTTTCAGATGAATGTTTCTTTTGTTTGTTAAACCCCTTAACACTGATCTATGAGTCATTCAAGCTTAAAAGTGCACTAAACCAGTGAAAATTTGAAATTGTATTTTCAGGCACTTTGTTACTAGCTGCCAGTTGCAAACACCCCCCACCCCCATAATTTGTTTCCACTTCTTTAGTTGAATCTATGTAAAATACCAAGGATTGATATAAAATATGTGTAAAACAGTTTAAAGGGTATAAAATATATTTTTTTTGCACCAGCAAGGTTATTCCCAAAGAGATTGTAGCTGAAAACCTGGCAAATCTCAACATGCTGTGCAGTGTATCCTTAAAAGAATTTGAGGAAACAGCACACATGGAGGGGCTTAAAAGCTGTCTACAGCAGATGCACAGTACTTCCAGTATGGGCAAGTCATGTCACGTCACACCAAGACCTGAGAGATGCATCTGGCCCAGATGATCCATCTACTGGTCGCTAAAGCGTCATCAGAAATGGTTTCTGATGGCGTTGGGGATTTTGCCAAAAACAATGGAACATAAATCTAGAAAAGGCAGATTTTCATCCACCATACAATACCACCTGGAAGGTTTCTGATTGGCAAGAAGCCTGGAGAATTATTCCTGTAGAATACTTAAATAAATGACAAGATTGAAAATAAATTGACAAACATTGACATTTCCAGCTATTCATTCTCTTTTCCTTATCCAATATTGCGGGTCTAAAATGGGCCTATTTCCCATTTCCTAGCAAAATATAAAGAAATGAGCAGTGACTTAAGACTATATAGAACCACTTGAGTTCCTGACTTGTTTTGTGGGTGGAAAAAAAAACAACTGGGGTTTTAAGTGTGAAGTTGTTTAAAGTAAGAAAGAACGAAGGATCGAACTGTACAGACTTTTAAAATGAGCATTTAAGCTACAATATTAGATATAAGGGTGATATTCTAGCCAAAATTCTGAACGTAAAATTATTGTTCAAGAAATAGCGAGCATCCCATACTTACTTGTCACAGTCACTCAACCGTCTCTGTTTAAAAAGCAAAGACAAAAAACTGTAAAAATAACAAGCAAACTTGAAAATAGAACTAAAAAAAAGTTTAAGTGACTGTGAACAACACCTTGGAAGAACTACACATTGTACTGTTAGATGAGCTGGAGTCATAGCTGTGTACAGAGGATCCAGTTGCGGTACCTTCTCCTGCCAATTACAAAGCAATTTAGTATTTGGCACAATGAAAAAATAACGACTTCATAGTAAATCTCTCTGGGCAACACTTACCGTCGGTGTTCTTCTTAAGTGACGCAGGAGCATGTTTGTCACAATATGACCTAAAAACACACATCTGCTAATTACAATGTGATACATAAGAAACATAAAAATTAAACCATAGACAAATAAGTCAAAAAAGGGGAAAAAAAAAAGATGTTTGTAAATACTCACATAACAATGCTATTAGACAAACTTTCCAAGCTGATATTACCTTCTCTCTTCTCACAGGTTAGGCAACATACCTCATGAAAACAAAACGGATTGGTTATTTATAACAGAGGAGAACGCGCACACACAAATGCACCACATAGCTCGCAGGTTAATGATGATAGTCTCTGGCTCTCTTCCACTGGTGGAGGTTTTTCCTTCTCACTGTCACCAAATGCTTGCTTATGTGTTACTGTACACACTTTTACCTTACAATATAAAATACTCTAAAGTGAACGTTGTTGTCCTTTGGTGATATACAAATAAGGCTGAATTGATGATTGATTTTGTAATGGTATCATCAGACTTGTGGTCATGTCTTTGACTGAGTCTGACTCGAGTATGTTCAGCACCCCAACTGCTGATGGAGGAAATCGCACAGACATGCATGTGTAAAGTCTGCGCTTACACTGTTATTTTGCTTAATACCTCATGGGATCTACTAATTTTGACCCATTTGGTTAACTACAGAAATTAACTGTTCGGGTCTGTGTTTATCAGTTAGTGCATTGTTAGCAAATCTTAGTCAATCAACTTCCATCTGTGCATTCTTGCGATCCATGCTACATTGCTTCACATAGCAAAATTTGGCCTTTCATTGAAATTACTAAAAAAAACACACACACAAAAACAACAACAACAAACCTAAAACTACAGGATCAAGCTGCTATAGAGAGATGGAGGCCTTTCCCCCCCAAAAAAAGTCTGTTTTAGTAAATCCATAAATCTAACCTTAGATGGTCCGGGTGCGTTGGGGTTTGGGGGTTTTTTGAGTTTTTTGGGGGTTCTGGGCTTTTTGGTGGAAGAGGCAAACTCATTTGTGGAAGCACTTTTTTCTGGTCATGAGAAATAAAAATGAAAATCAAAGTCTGTCATACACTGAATAAATGGTGACAGGATAAAGGATAAAAATTCAAAACTTACGTGTTTGCTGCTCAGAGTGAGATGAGCAGTATATCCTGTTAGAAAAACACATAAAACACATTTTTAGACAACTACAATTGTCCCAAGCAATGCACAGCAGGAGTTTTCATTTTTAGGTTAACTGAATATCTTTTTCGACAGGCAATTAAGCAGATCTGTTAAACTGACACATAGCGCCCATGGTCATCATCTTCAATAGTCGTCGCTCCCTCTTTAAGAGCACACGGGTAATGGTAGGACTTTTTGCAGCGTTTGACTTCACACCCAGCAGTGGCTCCCCTTTTCTTACAGTGGTTACAGGTCTAATGCAAACAAAGGAGTAAGACATTTAAACATTGCTCTCAGTGCGCGCCATACTTTAAATCACACAATTTCTAATATATTTACCAGCTTGCTTCCTCGTTTCACCTCATTCAGCACATCCCCCACCGAGAAGCCAAACAGGTCATGGAACTGTGGTGAATCCCGGCAAAAGATACCAGCAGAAAATAACTGGAAATAACAAACAACACAAAATTCACTTGAAGGACATAAATGAGCATGACGTAGAAAAACGGTAAATGGACTGGTTCTTACAGAGGGCTTTTCTACTCTACCTTACTACTCAAAGCACTTTATGCAGCATGACTCATTTGCCCAAGCACTTTTCTTCTATGCTTAAGTACTTTCTGACTGACTTGACACTAAGTATACTGCTTTGGCAGATCACTTTGGGTCATTATTCATTCACTCTGAGAAGGGCTGTACGATCAGTTTGGCAGCATTTGGCTGAATCTGAGCGGAGACTGTAGCCCTATCATCAGTAAACACTAGTGCTGGCCATGCTCACAACAAAACATAGATAATGTAGTATGCTTCAGCTCACGATGTGCAGGCTCTTTTGCTGACTTTTTTCTGGCAAAGTCTAATCTGACCTTCATGTTCTTGAGTGTAAACCGCGGTGTGCACCTCGTAAACCGTCTGCATCTCCATTCATGAAGGAGTCTATAGACAATACTACGCCAACTTACTTGTTTACATGTTATCAAGTTGTTGTTTTTTTTCTCTCAACCAAAGAAAGAATTTATGATCACACACTTTAGTTGTCTTCTGTGGTCTTTCAGGCCTTTTGATGCTGCTGGGCCAAAAAGTGATTGCCAGTATTTGCCAAAAAAAAAAAGTGATTGCCTGTATTTAAACTGTTATAAATAACTTGTTGGCCGTTACTATGTGAAACATATGTCAAATGTATCCCTCATGAATGATATAAAGTCATCTTGAGCCACAAGGTAGAAGCTGCAATCAGTTTTTGGCTAAATGACTTTTATATATCTTTTATTTGTCCACATAAAAAGTCTCAGCGACACTGACAAAAATAGCTTTAAACTGCTGGAAAGTTTATATGCATGAATCAATTTGTACGTTTATCAAAGGTGGTATAAGGAAATTAAAAGCGTCAGGAAAAATTACTCGTGTGCGTTATTTTTATAACTTTTCCACACGTCTTGTCCACAGGTACGTTGTGGACTTAACCGAAGCACTGAGCGGTGAATCACGCCCTCGTCGTTACACACGAAATAAAGACGAAGAACACAACAAACGTGCTTGTATTTACCAGGCAGTTCTGATGAGCCGTGACTTCATCTTTAGTCGACAAGGCTCCAGTTATCTTCGTCTCTTTGGATCGCTGACAAAGTATGCAGGCCACTCTGCTCATTTTCTTTACCGACAAACACACCGCTTCCACTTTCTCTACCAGGCTTGCTCGCATGCGTCCATGTTGAATCAGCGTTGCTGTTCAAAAACGATTTCTTATCCACTTCGACGCCCATTTCTTTGGGGTTGCCAGGTTCTATCAGAAACCTCCTCCTTTCAGTCACCACCGCATGGAAACGCATTTCGATCGACGGAGAGAGAAACTAATGCGAAATTGCGACTAATATCTATCTTCTTTGGATAACTATTTTTTAGGTTACCTTCACTTTAATACCCGACAAGAAAAAAAACAAACTAACTAACATTTGGCTGCTCACCAAATAAGATTTATTATCGGCTTATTATTTCCGGTGAATATTTACTATAGAGCTATGATATTAATCGATAATAATACAATATTTTGTATTTTTAAAGGCGTTTTTTTTTTATTAGTAATAAAAAATGTCCTCTGGCTGGGGGAAAAAAAGTGTAGGCAAAAGCAACCTACATTGCAACCTATATAGGTTGGTTCACGGTTCAACCCTTTGTCTATCTAAGGAAATGATCCTTAATACTATTTTAGAAACGTTTCTTATGGGGTTCCAAAAGCCATAAAGTGTGTGTGTGTGTGTGTGTGTGTGTCAAATACCACATTTCAATGAAAGGGTAGTTCCTTACTACGATTTCTTGTTTGTTTGTTTTATTTATTTATTTAGTTATTGGGGGGAAAGCTATGAAAAGACCTGGCAACCCGTTAAATTGTTTCAGTTTCATTTCTCGCTTTTTGTTGTCAGCCTATGACCACAGCTCTTTGAGAAACAGCTGGCTACAGAAATGTTTCAGGATGACTCAGTGAGAGAGACGGTAAGTGAATTGTCACAAGTCATTTATGTAAAAAAAAAAAACCAAAACTGGACAAGTCACAAAGCAGTGACACCATACTTAATGTACAATATAGCATCTCCTTTAACAAACATATCATGACAGACACATATTAATAAACAATATCTACATTCCAAACATTTTCCCTCTGCTGGGAATAAGTTAGCCTATACAGTGACCTCCCATTATTCACATGGATACATTTGTAAAACTGTAGCATATATGAAAATGCACAAAGAGTTTGACCAGGCTATCAGAGACAAAAGCAAAAGGACAAAAGCTCACACACACAAACTGGAGAGCTGGTGACAGAACAGGTTTCTAATGACAGACTGACAGCAGACAGGAGGAGAGTAACAGACAACAATAAAATTAAAGAGTGGATGAATATCTGTGGGTGCTTCATACAAATAAATAAACATTTTTTTAAAAAGTGGACAGAGAGGCGGGAAAAATTCATTCAAGCTAAAGAAAGTGGACATTGCCCTCTTTCTCATTCAGAGTTAAAATATGAACTCCTGAAGAAATTAGTGCATGTGAACACAAAGACAGCTGTTGTCCACTAACCTCTCCCCGCTTTTAGTGTGAGCATAAATAGATGCATTCGCTGAGATCAGTCCTGCTGGCCCATTCATACATCTATTACATTATCAGCATGTGGATCTTCTGTCTCCATGACAGATCAATACAGTGAAATTACCATATGCATGTGTTCTTTTCCTTCACAGTAAATGTATAACATTCTCAATGTGCAGTTTATTTGAGAGGCTAGAAAAATGAAATAAAAATGCAGTTTTGTTTCATTAACTCATGACTGCCAATGGCAGGAAAACACAGCAAATATGTCTCCTCATATGCCACACAGGGTGAGATCCTATATGCTAAAATGTGATGGAAATACCCCCTGGTAGCCCAGCCCCGTTGATTTTCATGCTGTCAGCCCGGTGTTTTTTCTTGGTTAATTGTTCTTTAGGTTGATAATTAATTATCTATAATCTATGTCGGGGAGGTAAGCATCCCTTGGGGTAGGAGGTTGACATTCAGACTGTCATTGTCAGAGCGTAGTCTTTGCCCTCTTAAAGGTGTGGCTGGTTTGTATTTGCTATTGGCAACTCAGAAGAAGAGCTTTTTGGAAGAGCTGAAGCTCTGGTCTTTTCCTATTATGGCAGGTGTGCTAGGACCTTGAACATTGGGACATGGGGGGCACTGCAACATGGGACCTGTCTTTGATTTCTTATAATGAAAAGAACAAGTAAAAAGATGTGTTCATACCGGGGCATTCACACTGAGCTGTAAACTGGATGAAACAGGCATATGGAATAGCAGGTGTGCCTGCCTTCTTCAGGTGTCATCTGTCACCTGAAGCAGGGGTGCGGCCACCTCCTGGAGAGCAATGTGGGGTGTTCCATCTGTGCATAATCTGTGCAGCGGCATCTTGGGGAACACCGTGTACATTTGTGAGGTTCTGTCAGCCTGTGGATTCATGTTACCAGCCACTGGTTGACTAGAAGATGTCTGTTCCTCTTGATGCTGCTTTAAGTCATCCACTTTGTTTACTGCCACTGGCAGTAAGGAAGAAGTAAAACAGTACAGAAGTTTGATGACTGTGGTTCTGTGAAACCCAAGATGATTGCCAGTCATGCTGGTCACTTGGAAAATATCAGCATGAGAAGTTTCATAGAGCTCATATGTAGCCTACCAAGTTATTTACAGCACATATGCACAGGTAGCCTATACATCATGCATATGAGTTTGTTTATATAAGATTTCAACATGTGCAGACTATGAGGAGACATTTTGTTTACTGCCACCAGTAGTGATCCCAGAATTCATAAAACTATAGTTACCTTTGTAACTTCTGTTTTCTGTGGAAAATTGACAAAATTCATGATTACAGATGCTGGCAAAACAGTACAGATAGCCACATGATATAGGAATGATGGCAGTTTGATGATGAAGAAAGTGCAGAGTATTTCAGGGTTTGATATCAGAGAAGCTCGTGTAGGTCTCACTGCAGCTAGATGATGTGCTGAGGTTCCCAGAGCCACTGCCTTCTGTTTGAAACACAGCCATATTGAGGAGTTAATGCATGTGTAACAAATGCATGTCGGGTTTTGACATGATTTATTTGGGACTGTTTCTTAGAATACCTGAGCTGGTGAGAGACTGACAAGACTTTGATTTTCCAATGAGGTTGATAAGATTAGCAGCAGGAATCCAACCCTCCTTAGATGTGTTTAAGTTACGCACAAGCCTAGACACACAAGTATAGTTAAACCAAAGCTTCTAAATTATAGATTTTTTTTATTAGTTCACATAGATAATATAAGGTTGTAACCTCACCACTGTCCATCGTCCCCCTCCTTGACCAGCTGCACTACATCTCCGCTCTTCACAGAGAGCTCTTGAGTGCCACCGATCTCACACTCAGCCGTCACAGTGTATTTTCCAGCACACTGTTCATAGTCAAGATAAGAGACAGATTCAAGAGAAATTCAGCTATCTTTCCAGATCATGAGTAACACGTTAAGATAATTCCATAAATGGATTTCCATTAATGTCACACAATACAAAAGACAATTGCATGCCTTCAGTTACCATAGGCTCTTCCAGACCTCCAAAATCATGTTTCATGCGTGTTGAATTGTCTCTTCTTCACTTTACACTACAGTTTTAGATCTATTAGAAAGTAATGACTTTATGACAGTTCTGAAGTCATTCTGTGACAGCTCAGATTAATAAGACTCAGCAGTAATTGATATCAGAGTTTTGACAAAAGGTCAGCAAGAGTTGAAATCAGCTTTAAGCTTTCAGCTGTTTGTGGAAGTCTTTCTTCTGAATTTATCAGTATCGGAAAGCAGCAGCAGCATCCTACCAGCACAACAGTGGTAACTTTATCAAGTACTTATAAAGTTACAGTTTTAAACTGTTACTATTAACTAAAGTGTACAGCAATACTTTTGTACAATGGCAGAAAGACTTGCACACATTATATAATATAGCACGAATACTGGGAATCATTCCATCACTGTTGTCTGAAGCTATGAGCAACACTGACATAAAAGTGTATTCTATTTCTGCTGGCAGTGTTATGGTACCAACAATGATATCAAATGTCTGAAAACTTTGAATGTAACCTTAGATATAAATACTGGATACCATAGCACCAACACTGTGATTACAAGCCTGCTACCTGTTAGTCATATACAGTGACTCACCAGCTTCTTGCCATTTTCGTCTTCTGGGTCAGAGTTAAGAGGATCTTCAGCGCTGGAGTAGCCGTCATGTTCCCCTGAGGCATCGAGTGACAGGGAGGCTTTATTCCAGCCTGAACAGAAGAGGCAAAAAACAAAACAAAACGGGTGCTTAGTTTGCAGCAACATTCAGCCTCAGCTCCTGTCAAACATGTACGTGACCTGAAGGGAGAGTGGTGAGTGTGGAAGAACCACTATAAGGTCCCCATTGTTAGAACAAAAGTGGCTAAAATCAGGAATCCCAGATTACACAATCAGATCCACAACTATGCACTACAGAAAAACTCCAAGATGGTGGAGACTGGCATGCAACTTCATATTTTAAACTTTCTTCAAACAGAGGTATAAAGTGGGCAGGCAAACATGCCTCTGTGTCAGAGGGTATTCTATGATTTTTCTCTGCGCTTGAAGGGCATGTGGAAAGGACAAACGCGCTGCCTTTAAAAGGTTCATAGCAGTGAAACACCCTGACACAGCCAGCTGGGGCAGGTTAGTGCCAATATACCTCTCCACTTTGTCTGTAAGAGACTAGAGGTGCTGAACCACCTGGCTCTGGTCAGGTGGAGGGCTGGAGGACCTGCATCTGAGGGACAGGAGGCAATGGAAACACAGCTAGTCACTTTTCCTGCAGTAGCTGCAGCCAACCAAACCTGTGTAAGACCTTGGATGTATTCAAGCATTATGGAAAACAACTAACCCAGCAAAGAGGCTATGCAGTGGCTGAACATTACCTTTAAAGCCAAATGGTGTGGGATCACTCTGGCGTTTCGTCTTGTGATCTGGGCTGGTGGGAGATCCTGGGGGGAAAAAAGGAAAAAGAAGAAGAGATGAGGTTGAAAGTTAAATCAAGGAATACATAATTATCAAAAAGTAATATTCAAAAGGCCTATTTTTATGAAAGGAATGAAGGAAAGGTATAAAGGAGGCATAGAAAACAGCACTTTCTCAGCTCACAGTCTAATAAAACAAACAAAAGTCAACTAATACAGAGGTAGAAAAGTAACTCTAACTAAAACAGCACCTGCAAAAAGTAGCTGAACTTTGCAAGATTTCAGAATATAAGCTGCTGCCATAGAAAAAGTGCTTCAGCAACACAGAGGCCACTCACGGGAGACATTTTGACATGTTACAGTATGCAGGTGTAAGGTTTTTGCACTTCTGTGGTTCTGATATTCTTTACCCTGACATAACTTTCAACACCTGCTCAGATTCACATGCTTTTCTTAACAAAGTCAAAATGTCAACTGTGGAAATGCCATTACACTGGATGAAATCAAACTGGGGTCTAGAGCTGTGCGATACCTGATGATGGGAAGACTGTCATGGGTAATGTAAAACTTTTGTCATCAGTACTTGAGGGCTCTGTGGAGGGAAGCATGCAGCATTTCTGACTAAAAGGCTTTAATAAAATCCCCCAGATACTTTCTCCAGACAGAGCAACAGTCTAATATTTCAAAAAAAAATGGCTTACACATTAATTTGATGAAAGTTGGATTAAAAGAAACCACACTCATGTCTTTGTGGTGAAAGTGAAAAGAGTGCTGTCAGAAGTTAGCTTTACCCCAAAGTCAGGAAAAAGGTTAAAAACATAATTGTATATGATCTATGATGATTTATAGCAATAACTTCCTGCAAACTCACTTGAGCCTGATTATTTCTTGTCCTAAAGACATGAGAGTGATCCAGCTTCTAACTGATATAATATTAGTGTCTTAAGATGATTAAACAAAAATGTATTGCGTCACACTAAATGGAAAAATCCTTTTTTTGTTTCACAGATGCAGAAAATGACATATCAGGTGGATAATGGAAAATCTCTGGCTTGCAGTTACCTTTCTGAGCTTTGAGGTTACTGAAGCCCTGTAAAGTAAAGCGCTTTTTAGCCACAGCAGCTCTGTCTGAGGTCGGGCTTGTCACACCCTCATCTGACCCAGACGGAAAGCAAGGAGACAAGACAGACGGACAAAAAGAATTAAGGAAGAAGCTAAGTTGGGTTAAGAGGGAAGATCAATACGGAGGGAAAATGGAACTTGATTCATTGGGAAATGAGAAGTTAAGACACAAATCAATCATAAGAAGTGGGAAAGCACAGAGGTAGGGTAAAACAGAGTTGATGCAACATATGCATTGCAAATGTTAAAGTTAAAATTTAACAAGAAACAAGAAAGGTATCTCTCGTACGCTCTTCACTCACCTTTCCCTGCAGCCTTTACAGAAGAGGAGGAATTGACATCAGGACTGCAGGACTCAGCTTTCTTCTCTTCTCCCTTTTTAATGCTCTTCTGGCCTGTCTTGAATGGGCTGCAAGTGGAGAAGAGAGCAACATGAGAAGCTTCAACAATTTCTGAAAGAACTGGCCCAGATTATTAAAAGTTTACAAAGGGCAATCACATGGAAAATGTTCGTAACACCAGTGAGAGAAAGTAAATGAGGTTGGGAGTTCAGACTTACCTGAGACTTACGGTTCCAGTGGGAACAGGTGGAGCATGGGTGGCCTGATCTGGTGCCCTCTGCTGGCTTGCTTCTGAATGACACAAATGAGAGAAAAACAGCGATGCTGGAACATCACTTCAGATAAGGCATAAGTTATAGAAAAACTTCCATAATGGCTTTCATAATACATGAATGTACCTCTGCATTCCTCCAGCTGGGTCGTCAGGACCTTCCTGATCTCATTTACCCAAGTGGTTTTGACTTCAGCCGTTGGTGCCTGAGACAAAAAGGATGTTCACCCCTCAAAATCTAACCATTATCAGAGTATTTGTTCAGTAGTTGTTCTTTATTAGCCTTTGTTTATTTACCTGAACAATATAGACTTCTTCTCTGGAGTTGCACCAAATTTCAAACTTTTTGTTGTCTCCTTTTGCATTCTCAGTGATGCCCACGGCTCTCATCTGTTCAATAAACAGTGAAGAGAAATATGCATCTTTGTTACCACATCAGTAAAAAAAAGAATTAAATGCAATTTGCAACCTTAGATGGGCTCACATTCAGGGACTGCTTGAAGCTGTATGAAGGAGCTTTCTCATAACCTTCCCCGTTCTCCTCTCTCCTCTTGCAGAAGAGCAGGGCCTTCTCGTGGAGGAAGAGGTGTCTCTGCATGGGCTTGAAACGGGCCAGATCCTTAACCTTGGCATGGCCTTTCTTGTGCTCGGTCCACACACTGAATGACCCTTGCATAAGCAGTTTACCCAGCTCACTCAGATTACCCTGAGAAATTAATGGGTTAAAGGGAAGAGATACTTTAATTTAAAAACAAAAACATGCTGGATATGCTCTAAAATAGTTTACAGATGCCCAAGTTTCACCTCAGAACCTATCTGACTTCCATGACATCTCAGTGACATACACTAAAGTATTGGGTGGCAAATGTTATTCCTTGAATTCAGGTGTTAGCAGTCCCATTGCCACAGATGTAGCCTATAAAATTAAGCACCTAGCCATGCAGTCTCACTCTACCTTCACAGATATTTGAGCACCTTTGCAGCAGGCCAGTTTGTGAAATTTCTTCCCTTCTAGATATTTAACTATAAACTGTAGGTTATGGTGGCTCTGAGAGACCATGTAGAGGATGCCAAGCATCTGTTAGGTGACTGATAAACTCTGGTCCTGTTTAATGTCTCACCTCAAATCCTGTAATGGCGATAAGGTGCATGGAGTCATTGACAGCCTTGAGGATCCCCACGATGGAGGTAAGCGCATCCTGCAGGTCGTCAGCCCCTTCACAGCCCTTACTGTACTTCAGCATTTCCTGAAGTTAGAACAAAACCGAAGAAGCAGCTCATAGCAACCACATGAAAACGGAAAAAAACAGTTGTAGAGTCCATTTGATTTGTGGCCAAGAGATAGATTCACACCTTCAGTAGCAGCTGGTACTTGGTTATCCTCTGAACCGGCTTCAGGAGATATGAATCTAAACCCAGTTTATGCTCCAGCTTTTTCTGGCATTCCTGATGTAATAAAAAGAAAATAATGTCAAATAAAACATTAACACCTTTTTACTCTGCCCACCTGAGCGTAAATCTCTTTTGAGCTACTGTATCTCACTGAAAAATGTGTTTAATTTGGTAACTTGAGTTGTTATATAATGCTGTGTTTTTAAAATATTATAGCTTTTAACTTCCCACTGGAAGCTGGAAAAATCAGTTTGCAATTTTTGGTAACTAGGCAACTGAATTAAAGTTGTTTCCAAAAAAAATAAAAAATATTTTTAAAAAATATTTTTTATGGGGGTTGTTATTTCCCCAAGCAATGAAATGTTAAATGGGTTTGGCTAACACGAATGTGCTGACGGCTGATTTGTTCACCTGGAAGAAGGCGCAGTCTGAGCACTGCCTCCACAGGCTCTCAGAGCGAGGTTTGTTGTGACAGTACTTCTCATAGATCTGCAGGTCTGTCATCTGAGGGGAAAGCAATGAAAAAGATTTGTACAGCACAGTCCCTTCCTTCAGTAAAATTAGATGTGTGTCTCTCGGCTATCTCACCCTTCACTCACCCTCTCTAAGAAGCATCTACCAACCAACTCTGGGCAGTCTGTGTACTGCTCCAACTCCCTCAGAAAAGTTCTGGTAAAAAAAAAAAGAAAAAAAATAGATGTGTTTATTGGCCTTAATGTCCAACACAGCACAGATATGATCAGTGACCACCAGATGGCGCTCCGTTACCTTTTGTGGAAGTGGTAAATTTCCGGCATGTTGCCAAACAAAACCTCCTTTTTGTTCTGCAAAGGCGCAGGGATAAGGTGAGACATTGCTGGATTATCCATCTCAGAGGCGTATCCCTGAAACAAACCAACAAAAGCACAATATGAAATACACAGAGCAGGAAAAACAGAGAGGGCAGGAAACCTTCTGTGGAGTGATTCTACACCTGTAAGACACAGAGCAGCTCCTCCACGTAAGCCCTCTCAGTTTCCAGCAGCTCGTTCATAACATGTCTGCAGAAAGGCAAAGGCAGAGAGATCAAGTAAGGAGTTTGGTGTACTCAGATAGCTGCACGGAGCTTTAGATCCCCAGATAACCCTTTTCACACAGCCCATCTGCTGTGTAATTTGATTACAGATGAAAGAGTTAGTGTTGATCCCTCACCGCCTGAGCACTGCCAGGTTCTCCTCCTCCTCTGACAGAGAGGTATGTCTGCTGCTACTGTATTCATTCTTCAGTTGGCCATTTCCCTAAAAAAAAAAGGGGGAACATTTGATATGGAAGAGACTCCAAAGTCTTCAGAAAAAACTTGTACAACAGTTTACAAACAGAATCTTGAGACTCACTTTTTCACAGTTGCCGGAGTCTGTCTCTGAGCATTTCTTCTCCAGCTTTGCTCTGCGTGCTGGGGATGTGAAAATACAGGGATGATTTTCAACTTATTAAACTATGTAATAACTATTAATAACTACTTTGATCATTTTAGCTGGTCATGAGGAATGTGGCATAATATTAGAAAAGCTGTATTCAAGGTTTCCAAATACTTTATTATTGTAAGAAGCTGGTTTCAGCTCAGTAATGCTTGCAGCTTGAAACATCCTTTTTGCAACATGTTTATTACACATTGTGTGGCAATTTTGTACAATTAATACAAAGAGGTTATGTGATTTCTATTACTGTCAATGCTTCAATATACTGACTAATAGAATAGCTGTGAAAAACTATAAATTAACTAGAGAGTGTGTAAAGGCCCTTGTATGTAAAACATATTTACATACTTTTAGGATGCAGGATAAATAAAGAAAATGTATACATTTTTTTTGTCCTGAAAATAGTGATTTCAAGCTAAAAATATAAGATTTTTTTTATTTCCTTCTACAATGTTGTTCTGCAATAAGTTATGTGTCCTCATTGTGTTTGAACAGTGGAAAATGGACTGTTAATGCATGGTCTCAGGTAATGCACACATAAGAGCTAGACACAGCATCAACAGGCTTCAAGTAATGCTAAGACTGAAGAGCACAAAAACCTGAGAAAGTCTGAAAAGGCTCTGCACTGCATGACGAGTGTAATGTACGGCCATGTGAAGACTGACCAGGTGAGCTGAGAGGGGATTTGATGAAGGCTTCGGGTCTCGGGGCTACTGGCTGCACAGGCCTGGTTTGTTTAGCTGCTAGCTTCTTGAGGCTGACTCTCCTCTTGTCAAACATCTCCTGCATGGACGCCTGCTTCTGGAAAACTTTCTCCACTTGGTCCTGATGCACAGGAAGCCACCAGAAAAGTGTCACCATTAAATGTGTTATTAATGTATGCCAACATCAGTAAAGTCGTAACACAATAATCTGAGATGGGATATTATGCAATGTTAGACATTAGCACTAATGTGGTCATTTTTGTTGGCGGAAACCTCAGCGATGTGACGTTTGAATGCAACACATGTGTTCTCCTCACATGTCAGTCCTCTTACCCTGAACTGCTGGTTCAGCACAGCCTCGTAGTCTTTCCAGATGGTGCTGAGGTCTGTCAGCTGATTCTCGCCTGCATTATCCAGGTAACGTTCCAGCTCCTGCAGGGCCAACTCTGCGCCCTCATGTGACTGACATTTATCAACCGGCTGAGAAGCCAGCAGGTATATGCCATCATCAACCCACTTTGATGCCTGCAGAGGAGAGCAGAGGAGGATGAAAGTGGAAAAACCAGAAACAACACAAGACAAAGGGACTAATGGGGGCATGTATGCAGTTGTCTTCTCACCCGCTCCAGCCGGTGGTGTAGCTCCCTGGCTTTGAGGAGATGTTCCTTCTTGGCTCTCAGATTGTTGTTCACAATTTCACTGATTGTTCTAAGCTCACTGCATTTGGGCTGAATGGAGTCCTCAGCATAGTGGGACTTCTGGATCAGTTCATCACCCTCCTGGGACAAGGCTGCAGTTCTGACCAGAACCTCCTGAGGACCAGTGTAGTACAACAGTTCAGTTCTGACCTCAGCTCAGACAGTTTGTTCCAAAGAACAGGACCACAGTTATTGAAAGCACACTGAGATGACCTGAGAGGTCCAGTTGGGTTATAGACACTGAGTGAGTCAAAAATATATGGGGTTGTTGTGCACACAGGTATTGTGCTTTGAATGCACTGTGCAGCTCTGACACGATTTTTAGGGAATATAGGCCTAAAAGCTCATATTTAAGAGTTCCTGCAAAGTAATGAGATTTTGTCCAGATGAAGCTGCTGATATAGTTTTGATTCTTGATTTAAAGCTGATTGCACTACTTTTTTATTTAGGTCTTTCTTGCTTAGTATGTCGTTCTCTGTTGGTCAGTGCATAGCACGTTTCAATTTGAATTACTTACGCTTTTACTTTAAATTTGTTTAATTTTTTGTTTAGTTTGTTGTATTTTTAGACACAACCTTGCTCTTTTCCCACCCTTGATGTCATCTGAGTTCACTTGCTCCTTGCTAACCTTCCTTAAGCTTTGTTTTTTCTCATTATCTTTATGGACTTTAATTATTCTCACAGTTTGGGAGAAACTCATCTAGTTTGATGTCCTTAAGTTGGACTTTTTTAGCGATCCCTGTGTCCTCTGTGCAGTACTTTATTAGATAAAAGCACATTATGAAATAAGAAAACTTGAGAAAATTGCTGCACTTTAGACATTTTACACATGAATATGAAATATAAAGATGTTTAATCGCATTTCATGATGTTGATGAAGACCACTATTAGCTGTTCTATCAACCTTACTACATAAAATCACAAACAAATTAGTAATTTTGAACGAAATGAATCACATCTCGGTTTTTAAATTTTCTTACATGAAAGTTTCTTTAAAAATATCATTTAATTTCAATCATCTGCTAAAACACAGCCGGTGATTTGTTTTTGGAGTGTAATGTAATTTCGAAATGACAAAAAAGAAAGCAGAACACCTCCCCCTCCACCCCCATCCATATTATAAAGCATCTTATTCAGCTGTTTGTGTCCTGATCACACAAAGCTTTAATTGTGATGATTCAGGTGTGACTTACACAGACTTTCTCCTCGTAGGTCGTGAGCTCAATGAAGATGTGGTCAGCATGGGCTGGACTGATCCCAACCTCAGCGAAGGTTGCAAGTTTCTCAGACACCTGATCCAGCAGAGCCCTCACCTGCACCAGAAACACAAGTTTTGAAGAGATCCAGTATGCGGGATTTCAATATATAAAAAAAGTCCAGCTCACCTCTCGGTAGTTATGCTCAAAGTGGCGCAGTTGAAGACACTGCTCTAGTTTGGTTTGATGTCTCACCCAGAACTCATCAAAAGCTCGTTCTGTCTCATCCAGCTGAGACAGCAATCTGCCAGGCAAGGCGAGAAAGACGGAGAGGAAAGAGCCAGTGTTAAATCGAGCTAAAGCCGTAGGGGGAAAATTAATGAAGCAGAGAATGCTGACTGAGGTATTCAGATCCCCTTGGTTTTTTGTGTTTGCATGTTTTTATGCTATTTAGTGGCAATAACTATTATGATTATTGTGGAGATCGGTTCTCTCAATGTGCCTTAAAATAAATGAAAATGACCTCAAAGCATACTGACTTGAAACAATATTCCTAAAATAGCGAAAAGAGATGAAACAGGCCAGGAAAAAAATAT